GGATCAGGTGATTATAACTTTTTTAAAGTTTCTTTCCTAGACCCAGACGAGCAGTTAACTCTTGCAGTGTTGCGGTAGCTCCGCTGCATAGGTTATTAATATTTTCCCCAGAATTCCTCTTTTATATCTAACGGGACAAAATGACATTTTTCCCCCTCTATAAATAGGCCTCTTTTAGAACATCAGCTGACTGGAGGAGCTTTCATTCTGCCATTGCGATCTTTCAGTGTAGCTGCTTACAAGGCAAAAATGTTGTTTGCTTGCTACGTTTACGCCATACTTTGAATAGCATAGGAGAATGTTGTGAAGTGTTCTCAATCATGTTCTCCAAACAGCAATGAACCAGCAATGAACCAGCAAAGTCACTTCAGTAGCATAGGGCTGTGTGTATTAAATGCCTCATAAGCCAGAATTTACATTTTGGAGGTCTTTGGTTTCCCCAATGTTGTGTGAATTGCAGCTGCCCCGGTTTGTCTGCACGTAGCGAAGATAAATGTCTCTTTTGTATTATCTCAATATATTGGATTTGTTCAGCGCAAAGAGTAGTTGGCAAGCTTTGCTCCATTTCGTCTGGTGCATCACTTTAAATACTCGGCTATAATGGAGATTTTTTTTCATGGGAGTCATGGGAATTGTGTCCATTTCACATCTTCCAAATGTCTGTTGGAGAGGTCAGCTGAGCGGCCATATGGCTATGTATTTTTGTTGTCAGCAGGAATAGGGGAAATGCAAAAGTTCTTTCCGACTGTTTCAAGCAGCCTGTTAGGCACACCAGTTGTATTATATGTGGTGTCTGTGTCGTAAAGCAAGTTAGGGCTCATGCACATGGGCATATTTCAATACTTTCATCTACGCTGACGCTAAAAAAAAAAAATGTGCATTTGGTGCAATTACGCGTGAACGCCATTTAGAGTTGTATGTGTGTAAATTAATTCCATTGGCTAGAATATTAATTTTATGCTAGCCAAGAGAATAAATCTATGTGCATACACATGCGATGGATTGCATTTACTTGTACATTATGACGGTAAGCTCCTCTCTGAGCACAGGTTTGGAGGTTTGGGCCATTTTATTTTTATGCTGCTCTAAGGCTTTTTTCACACCAAGCGCGGAGCAGGTGCAGAGCAGTTAGACCGGAGCAAAACTGCGCCCAATGTATTCCAATGGTATTTTGGGCTCTAGTTCACACCGATGCATTCAGTTCCAGAGCAGGTAAAAAAACTGCAGCAGGCCCTATTTTACCTGCTCTGGAACGCATGCGAACGCATCAAAAACGCATGCAAACTCCCTGGAACACACTGAAAGCCCATTTTAAACTTACATTTTTTTTTCTTTTTTACCAAAAACGGCCCTGAACGCATAAACGTGGCACAAAATAACGCGGCACAACCCACTGCACTGCGTGTGCAAAAACCTGAGCAGACCTGCTCTGCATTTGGTGAACAAGGCCTTAGATATTGATCTTAATGCCACAATGTGCATGGACACAATGGCTAAAATAGAGCAACGTTCAGAGGCATCAAAAAAGCAATCTGCTAAAAGCAGTATATTTTCTGCCCATTAGTCTACCTTCATACCAGATGAATACATGTACAGGGAATGTATCGTATTTTCCAAGATTTGTTGGATATACATTGAAAAGACGTCCACTAAATGTAACTCTTCTCAATGCATATTAATCATAAAAATATAAACCTCCTTTTATACAGATTTTAAAGATCTCCAGGAAAACTTTTTCTTAACCCTTGCAGTGGGACTACCCCAGCATTGCGAGGGTTCAGTGCTCGGGGGACAAAGATCTACTCACCTGAAGCTCTGAGCCAGCCAGCTGCCACAGCGCTCCCTGCAGCCTTCCCAGCAGCATTTGAATCTTCCTTGTTGTCCTCACATCTATGCACAGTGTATAGACGTGATGATTTACTGGACCTTAGACCGCTGTAAAGTAGCCTCCGCTGCAATATCGCTCCCATGATGGACTACAATCTCGTGTTTAGTTTACTAACTTGTAGGGATGCACCAAGTGGTCCGATACTTACCCCCGATAATGGAACTTCCGGTCAGAGGCAGTGCCGCGAGGGAGCATGGAGTCCGCTTACCTGCCAATCAGGAAGCCCGGGTGGCTGTCCGACACTGCAAGGTTTGATTCCTGTGTCTCTCTGTGGAAGACCTCCCCTAGTATGTCTCTTCAGAGCTTCAGTACGACCACGTCTCTTCAAAGTGTTAATTGATTATATTATTCATGCCAATTTTTATATTTTATCTTTTTCTTCTGAATTTTCTAAAAGCACTTTAAACTTTGTATTTGCTCTAAAAACTAAATGGAAATTCCTACAGACAGCTGCATTTGTATTGGTTTTGCCTTCAGGTGCTAAACTGCCAGCACAGTGGGGATTTGTAATCGTCTCTATTTAGTGAAGATCAGCTCTTAAGCCTGGAGAGAATGTTGTCACTAGAGAGCGAGGTCACACTGCCGCCATGTGAGGGAGTGAAAGTTAGGTTGGAAGCCAGATATCATCTGCTTATGGGAGTTCTGGAGATTTAGTTGGTGAGGAAGAGAGGAAAGGGAAAGATGACGAAGCAGAATCCTTAAGTGTAAGGTCATCTTTGTGCTTTAGAAACCTATAGCCACAACCCATGCACTGATAGATTTAGAAGCATGCTTCCTTACATTTTTGTTTTTATTAAATGATCAATAATATTGAGTAGTCATTTTTTGTTCAATTGCCATGTCCGGTAAAAAAAAGCTTTTTTTTTTTCCTTTTGGAGCTGTACTGTAATGATCAAGTTATGAGCATGTAAGAGTTTGTGTACAAAATCATCCATGGCAACAAGTAAAATTGGCATAGGGTGCAAGGAGCACAGAGAGTGAAATGTAGGGGTAGAGCTGGCCATGCACTCTTCAGTTACCATCGATACCCCCATCCTCGCCAAACAGCTTGGATGAAGGAACCCTAGCTGCTGCCTATTTGTATTAAATACCTGGGCAGTGTCTGCATCTGACTGACTCCTTCCACAAACGCTGATGGAAAAATCTACTTCAGTGGAGCGGAGGGGTGCTGGTAGGATTCCAATTCCCATTTCATCGGGAAGGGTTAGGGTGAAAAAAGAAAAGAGTGCACTTGTGTCCATACTATGTACATGAAACCATTTTACATAATCTTAGCAAGGAGTAAAAAGAGAGGCATCTATTGTCTGCCACATACAATGCTGTTTTAGCACCTCTCTCTGGGCAGGTTATTAACACCTTCTAGCTCCAATTATGCAAATGCCATCAACACCTGGCTGCGACTAACAGATTATGTGGATTGGAACACCATTCACCATATTTATTCCCAGATAATTTTTTGTACAAGTCATTCTAAATTGAGAAAGCTGGTTGGATGACCAGTTAAAAGTCTTCAAGAAAAATACAGTAAGTCCAGTTGCCTTGACTTCTTTTTTTATAGATATACCATGACCTGGATGAATGAGAACCTTCACAGACAAGGAGTAAAAGAGCTGTACACAAGCCATCCCTGACCTCTCTACCTTCTTTTAATGTGAAGTTATTCATGTTCAGAGATCACAACAAATTGTTAATAGCAGGAATGCAATGATATATCGGCCCGCCAAAACATATCGGCCAAAAATTGCACTTTTGGCATAATGCAGAAAGTGCCATTTTCTGGCAGATACAATGATGCATCTGTTCTTTCTCTCATCCCCGCTGGGCCTTCTCTGTGTCCCAGCGGGGGAGGAGAGAAACTGTCACAGGAGGCCGAGCGCTGCGGCCGTCTCTCCTCCCACACCGCTCAGCTTCCTATCACAGATCAGAGGAGAGCAGTGTGGGTGGAGACAGCTGTCATTGCTGTCACAGGAGGCTGACAGCGTGTCAGTGATCGCTGAGTATTTGTAAATAATTGAGGACATAGTATGTTGACTATATCCTCAATTATGAATGAATGTTCATTCATGATTGTGGATATAGTCAACACACTATGTTTTCTCATGTTATGAATGAACAGGAACACTCGGTATAGAGGATTCCTGTTCATTTATAACATAGGCTGCAGAAAAAGAGAGAGAGAGAGAGAGAGGACTCTGTGTTCTCAATCTCTTTTTCTATTTTAAAAGGGAAATATCAGGGGTCTGTTTAGATCTCTAATATTTCCCCGATGCCCTTAAAAGTAAAGTAAAAAATTAATAAATAAAAATAAAATAAAACATTTAAAATTTTATGAAAAATAAATACAAATAAAACAAAACAATTTTTTTTAAAAAAAAGTTAAAATCAAAAGCATTTTCAGTTTCGGCCTGATTTTTTTTTTTTTTTTTTCGGTTTTGTTTCGGCTTTAACATTTTCATTTTGGTGCACCTCTAGTTAATAGTTAAGGTACTTGAATGTATTTATAAGATTAAGTACCGAGTTTAGGGTCACTTTCAGGCCCCATTCACACTGAGCGATTTATCGAGCGATTTTTGCAGCGATATCGCTCTATGTAGCTTCTCCAATCCATTTCAATGGAGCTGTTCACATCTCGTCGCTCAATATCGCTCAATATCGCTTGTAGCTCGTCACTGGTAGCTTGTCGCTCCTACATGACCCTTTATTGCTCCTGATTGCATACAGCCCAATAGGAAAAAGTCGCGCGATATCGCTCGTCGCTCAATATCGCTCAAAATTGCGTGATTTTCATGTCGCTCAGTGTGAATGGGGCCTAAAGTGGTGTCAGTATTTGGATTGGACAGTGAAGGGACAGCCACAGTGCAGCCACAAACCGATGAGGTCATCTCTCTGCTCACTCCTATCAGCATTGTTTGCATGTAGCTCATTTGAATGGCTCCCCTAATCCTGTTTGTTTATTTCTGTTTTGGCTTTGCTAAAGTTTCTTTTTAAAATAACGTCCATGCAATTATATTAAAAATAAACAATGTATGTGTCTAGATGTTGTTGTATTTACTGAATGCGCCATATGGGTTGCAAATCAATCAACTAACTTCTTTCATTGTGTTTATTCCAGAGTGATACGATTGCATGGGTCCGGTTACGGGAATGACTCCTGACAAGAACGTAGAAACTCCCGGAGCAGAGAGAGTTGCAGGTTTGAGTCAAATTGATACAATGGGTAGCCTGCCAGAAGAAGTTGGTGCAGCCAGGCCAAAGGCCTCTGCCGTGGACTGTGGCCCAGCAGATGAAGAGCTGACAAATTTGAACTGGCTTCATGAGAGTACAAACCTGCTGAATAACTTTAGCCTTGGAAGCGAGGGACTTGCAGCCAATAATCCATTATATGACATTGAAGGTGACAATTCTCCATCAGGTTGTCGAAACACAGAAAAGTCTTCTGCCTCCTCCAAACCTCCTTATTCCTTCAGCCTCCTCATTTATATGGCAATTGAGCACTCCCCTAACAAATGTCTGCCTGTGAAAGAAATCTACAGCTGGATCCTGGATAGGTTTCCTTATTTTGCCACGGCACCCACCGGCTGGAAGAACTCTGTCAGACACAACCTTTCATTAAACAAATGCTTTCGAAAAGTAGAAAGAAGTCATGGAAAAGTAAGTCATATCGGAAGTGAAACTTTCATTACTATCAAAACAGAGAAGGAATAGTTTGGGATAAAAATGTGCGCATTGTATTTTCTGTCTTGTTTTAAAGTCCTATTTTCCAGGGGTTGTGGTTACTAAATAGTGATTCCTGCATTTTTATAAGGTCCACTTGAAAGTACAGTGTTTGACTTGCACTAGGTCTTATTTTCGGGGTAGGTCTTATTTTTTTTTAATGTACAACAATCCACACTTATTCATGTACAACAGTCTACATGTATTCATGTACAAAAATATGGTAATCAGGGGTGTCGTACCTTTCCAAGAGCAATTTGGTAACCAATCGCTGGCCAAAATAAGCGAAGCGCGCTTTCACTATTGATTCCTCACAGGTGGAGTGCATTTGGTATCACTCCGCCTGTGACAGGAGCCAGCGCTATAGAGGAAGCATCGGCTTATACAGCTCTGCTCCCTCCGCTGCCGCCTCGCTTCCTCTAGCGCTGGCTTCGTTGGCAACACTGATTTTCTCCCGCAGCACTTCAAGTTCCCCTTTTATGCCACCACCGGCCCTGGGAATGGCTACAATTAGGTCTTTATATTTTAACAATTCCCAAAAATAAAAGATGGGTGTTATTTTCGGGGTAGGTCTTATTTTTGGGGAAACACAGTATATGTACAGCCAAATGTTTCTTTTTAGATATTGGATAGAGTGGGGAGGGGTAGGTCACACATTCAATCTGACAATGAATAGAACCGGGTAGATGCAAAGTAACAACAAAGTTACATTGTATCTCAGAATCACGCTTCTAATCAGTGTTTATAAACACTGTTCAAAAGGTCACATTTCTGACAGCAGCGGCTGTAATGACAGCTTCCATACAGCTGTCCCAAAAGTTCCCATAATAAACAGTGTTTTGTAAAGATATAACTTTAACGGAACTGATTGCACAGTGTAAATATTGACATTGTCTGTGTGGTCAGACAATGGTCTGTATTGTCTGTAAACTGTATTTGTTAACTGCCTTATGTGAGCAGACCCAGGCTTTTTTGCCCTGTTATGGACTCTAACTTTATGTAGTTAATCTATTTAGCCTGCAGGTGGGGCTCTAGGCTTTCATTTGTCAAGTATTGTATGACCCTCAACTGTTCTAAAAGACACCCACGGTTTACAGAATGTAATGAGGGAGATTTTAATAAGGCTTTGCTACATTATTCTGGCTGTATCTAGAACTCTTGTGCTAAATTCATAAAACGTCTGGAACATCTCTATAGTCAATGCAGCGAGTTCTTGTGTCTGCAACAAATTCAGTAAAAAAATAAAAAGCTACCCCCGTTTTAGAGTTAAAAAAAATTAGTCACTGGTTCCTACTTTACTATCGGCCCGCATCTCCATTTGTTGCCAGGATGCTGTCGGCCTGCAGTATCAGTCACTAAGACACCGCCAGCCCATAGTGTCCTTGGTTGCTATGATGCTGTTGGCCCATAGTGTCCTTGGTTGCTAGGACTCACAGCACCATAGCAACCAAGAATGCTGTGCAGCTGACAATATCCTCGCAATAAAGGACATTGTGCAGCTAACAACATCATACCAACCAGAGACCCTGTGTGATCCTGAGGGGGCCGAACATGCCCTGAGAATGTAATATCTATCATATGAACACTCCGGCCTCAGTACCGCTTCCCCTCCAGCCTGCCTCCATGCAACAAATTCATGTACCTGTCATGCAGAGGCGTGACACAATTCTAGAGTGTCTGCAACACTCTGTGAATTCCAGGGAATGTCATTAGATCAGTGACTTCCATCAGATGGGACCCGTCCAAGGTTTAATATGACAGGCTAAGCCTCTTTAGCTAACCCTGGTGCTTTTGAAATCCTTTGACATATATATAAAATATATATTTGTGAATTGAAGTTTGTGTGTGCATACATATGTACTGTCTTTTGGGTTTTTTTTGTGCTTCTAAGAAATAAAGCCAATTGGTTTGATCTGAGGTGCAAAATAAAAGCTAGCACATGCAGTGAGAGTTGCGTACTGAATATTCATGTTTGAATTGCTGGTACCTTTCATGATGAATAGCTGCTAGAAGCTTTCTAAGAAATCTATATGAATCCATTTTCTTTAAACCTGAAATAAAAAGTATGTTTCCCATATCAGTAAGGGATAAGGATATTGAAGTTGTTGGTTCTAAGCTGATGGTGCATATTAATCCCTGTATATATAGAGATGCTTCTCCCAGCTGCACATAGACAGTCACTGTACACTTGCCTAGTCTAGCTATGGTCTCAGATATCAGTCTGGTTTGGGTTGTCATGGCAGCACTTCCTTCTGCTGGCTCGGTTCTTGGGCTTTTAGTAATGTGAGATGAGCTTGTGTTCCTGCTAAACTAAAATCTTCCTTATATAAAAGATAAAATGCAAGACTGGCTGTAATCTCAACCAGAAAGAGCCTTCTACAGGAATGTGCAAGGGCAATCTTTCATCTATGTTTAAACTCCTGTTTGTAAAATGTATACCTGGATGTGTACAGTGTTGCTTATGATGGGAGGTATTTCTGCATTAATACTTTCTTACAAGTACAAAATGGAGATTATTCAGTAACCAAAAGAACAAAGTATATAGTACAGTCATTTATAGCAACAAGTCAGAAATGGCCTTAAGGGTGGGTTCACACCTGGGTGTTTTTTAGTGCTGATCGAAGCAGTGAAATCCCATACTTCCTTAAAAACGCCCTAAACCCAAACAAGTACGGGAGCTTCTTTGGGGTGTTTTTCCGCGCGTTTCCATTGGTATTCCCGAGTGTGGCTCGGGGTTAACAAAGCGGTAACCCCGAGCCACACTCGGGAATACAGCGTAGGACTTACCTTGTCCGCGATCTCCGCTGTGTCCTCCGGCGGCTGCCTACTTCTGGGTTTTGTCCCTTGCGAGCGGCCGCGTCGCAGGGGGGCGGAACCGGCAGGAAGTTTGAAGGTTAAAAAAATGTTAAAAAATGATAGAGAGAATAATAAAGGGGAAAAAATCATAGCGCCAGTGAAACGCGCGTTTCACTGAACGGAAAAACGTGCTAAATGCTACGCCGAGGTGTGAACCCATCCTTACTGATCGGACCCGAACTCGGGTGGTTATGTTTGATCTGTTATTGTAATTTGTATTCAATATGGGATTCAATTTAAAGTGATGCTAAACTCAGGAGTTACATTTTAAAAATGCATTCAAGTAACTGTTACAAATGCTGGACCTTATTTGGGATCACTCGGCTGTAGATGCTCAAATCATCTCTGAATTGGTGCTGACACTGTCCTTCCTTTCTTCTCCATGGTCCCTGTGTGTGTTGTAAAGTAGTCACCCCTCAAAGTTCACTCCTGTGATGGACTAAAATCTCATGTTTAGTTTACTAATTTGTATTGAGATTGTAGTCCATCACAGGAGGGAGCTTTGAGGGGTGACTGCTTTACAACACATGCAGGGACCATGGGGAACAAAGTAGCCCCCCTCCAGAAGGAAGGACAGTGTCAGCACAAATTCAGTGATGATTTGAGGATCTACAGCTGAGTGATACCAAATAAGGTCCAGCATTTTTAACCGTTACTTGAATGCATTTTAAGATTTAACTTCTGAGCTTGGTGTCACTTCAATGCCCCATTCACACTTGACCTGAGTGGTGTTTGTGTTTTTGGGAATTTTTCAAGCGATTGTATAGGCATTTATGCGCACATTTCAGACTTTAGCATTTTGTGTTAATATTGAAAAGCTAGTTATTAGGCAAGAAACTGCATGAAAAAATGTGTGTTGTGTATTTTTTTTGCACACTTCTAGAAGTCTGTTGGAGCCAAAACATTTGATTGCCCCAAAACCAGCTTATGTACATTTTAGGAGCTCCAGGCATTTTCTGTCAAGCGACAGAATGTTCAGGTGTGAATAAGGTTCATTGGAAACAATGGGTTTCCTTCTGTCCAGGGTTGTAAAGCTAGACATTCGAACTACTAGGTGAGAAGGGGGCCTTAAGGTGCCCACACACCTTGCGATAATTGTACGATAATCGCTGGAAATCACGGGATCGTACGATTATCGCAAGGTGTGTGGAAGGCGTGCGACCTCTGCTACTGTAAGGTCGCACGACTTTTATCTTAGGAACATGTTTGAAAACCCGCCAAGAATCGTAAGATTGTCGGCAGGTGTGTGGCATCTTCGTAACATAAAAGCCGAATGGGCCGGTGTGCGCAAGCGCACACTGCCCGTTCAGCATTGCGGTCATCGCAAGTACGATCTGCCTGTCCAAGATAGGCAGATAATACGTTTTTTTAATTACCCTACAACCATCGCAAGACTAAAGTCTTGCTTTCGTTGTAAGGTGTGTGCCCAGCATTAGAGATTGTGAGATGAGACATCCAGATTATTTGTGTGTTCAGCATTTGATAGCGTAGGTACAGCCTAAAGGACAAGTGATGTCCCAAAATATTCTCCCTAGTGACCAATTACCCGGGGTTTTACAATTGTGAACAAAATTGCTTTAAAAAAATATTGATTTTAGTGATCAGTAGAACATACCATGTTGGATATTTTGTAACATTAAAACTTTTATATAAATATATATATATTAATTTTTTTGACAATTTGTAGCTAATTAACTAAACAGCATGTTGGGCCAATTTATGGGATTGCTAAGTACAGTCAATGTAAACAGTTTGTTTATATTCTTATCTTCTCTAATTTGCATTATTGCCATCTGTTTTGTAGGTAAATGGAAAAGGATCCTTATGGTGTGTTGATCCGGAGTATAAGCCCAATCTTGTCCAAGCACTGAAGAAACAGCCGTTTTCTGCAGCACTTGCATTGTACACCCCTCCTGCCTCACCAACAAGGTAAGCGGGTCACCAGTGCTACCAATACATACTAATGTCATCTGTTCAAGAATAAAAAATGAAGGAAGATTCCCCTTCATGGACTCAGCACCAGCAGAATGTGGCCTCAACCTATTTGTTTATAACCAGCAGAGGAAAGGTGCACATGGCTGAGGAACTTAACAGCAAATTAACAATACAAACATTTTCCAATTTTGTTAGACAACAAAGTAGAGCTGCAGCTAACGATTATTTTCAAAATCGATTAGTTAGCCGATTATTAAGTTCGATTAATCGGTTAATCGGATAAACAATAAAATAAAGAGATGGAAACCATTGTCTGTTCCAACATTTAGATGAGAACTAGAGGGTTCGGTTGCATTCATTTGTAAATCCACATCAAGGGACCTCTATTACAAGCAGCTTATTTTTCAGTGTAGGTGTTAGAATGGGACTACATATTACAGGAGTGCCTTACATTCATCTAATACACAGTGTATGCAGGTGAGACCTGTTCTTAATTCTAAGTGTTGCAAGCATAGGTGGGTTCCCTTTACTGGCTATCAGGATCAAGTGTTATGGAGAATGTTTTTGTTTTTTTTTCTCAATTATGTCTGTGCAAGCATTGGTAAAATGTCTCTATTCACACCTAGGCGACTTCTAGTGCGCCTGGTTTTTGTTTGTTTTTTTCGTTTATCTTTTAGGCGTGGTTTACATACTTATTTTAAGTCGCACATTTTTGTGAGCAGATTTTTGCACATTCATGTGGCTGGCCAAAAACACAAAATAAATTGCAACATGCGTTTTCTATTGAGTCTATGGGACAATATGCGCTAAAATCTGCCCCATAGTAGCTCATGTACTACTTGGAGCAACAAGCGTATTTCTACTTGCGACAGAACTCACAGGTGTGAACAAGGACCATAGAAATGAATGGGATTCCTTGGGTGGAGTGTTTTCTCACGCTGAATCAGCTGTGACAATACGTCTAGGTGTAAATGGAGACTTATGCAGCATTCTGTTAAATGGTGTTTGTAGACAACCCTAAAACGGCAGCTCTGTTATATGTGGTGTGTCAGGGCCCCTGTTAAGTTTAAATATTTGTCTTGGTCACTCGTGTCTCCATGCAAAGGCAGATAGTTCTGAAGCAGGTATAAAATTTCAGTTGATGGCATTGCAAACTCGGCAATCTATGTCTTCTATTGAGGTGTTCTGTTGTTACATTATCTGGACAATTATACGCTGCCCAAGTTATCCAAACATATAACATTTCTTTCCTTTGCAGATCTCACACATTGTACCAAACTCAACTGATGTATTGTGCTTTTCTTTCTTCTTTAGTGTATCCCCTCCACTTTGTTTATCTTCTGCATTGAAACAGACTCAAGGACACTCTGCGAAAGGTATGTACATATTTACACTTTGATTATAACTGACTAAGGGGTCAACATGTCTCCTTTTATAGTGTGTTTAGGTTTTAAATATTTTTTTTCGTTATGTTGGGAAATTCCTATACATAATCTTTTTACTAACAGAGCCATATTTCATTTTGCAACTAACCACTGACCACAGAAAATCTGCAGATAATTGTAAGGTGTATGGCCAGCTTTAGTTTTGTGCAACCGTGAAATGGCGATAAACTGCGATACCCAAATTTTCCATAGGCAATGCTTTATAAACCTTAACCGTTCATCAGTTTAGAGTTAACCATAAATATGTCCCTAGAATGATTCCATTCACTCTGGTGTATGCAGCAATATCTACTATGTCATTTTAAACGTACTTATGCTCCCTGCATGCTGTTTGTTTGCATTCGTATGGACAGGGCTTACTTTTTTTTTTTTTTTTAAGATTTATTACATTTGATTTATCTAGCCTCCTTTTTTTTTTTTATTACTATTAGAAGGTGGCTGGCAAGCCTGTGATTGTAAATGTTTGACAAGTCCTCTTAATGGAGACTTTAGGGGTTTGTCAGACCCTAATGCATCTCTGCATTCCATTCAAGCAGATTACAGACTGCACTCGGAACAGTCCTGTAGTTCTGGGTGCTCCCAGCAAGCTCTCTTTCAACAAGTCGGGGACTACTTGAAATGTGCCGTCTTCAGTAGCCTGGAATCCTGCTACCCTCTTGTATTGGAATCTCTCCCCTCATCAGAGTCCTCCTCTGGTTCTCCTGAAGTTGCTAGGTCTTCTGCCTTCTCAGCTGAAATTTTTACTACGGTCATACAAGAAAGACATGACCCAAATTACTCAGTTGCCGAATGCGCGATCTCCAGCAGATTCTATATCCGATTTTCTTGTGGCCTTTGATCATCGGCTTTGTCCAATCATGACTCGGCCAAGTGTTTGACTGGTGGGCTTTGCCCCTAAAAATTTGGAGTCCTCTGCCATCACTCCCACAATTGAGACTGTTTTGGCAGCTCATTGATGCAGTGCACACCACTCTAAAGCTCCATGGATAATTACAAGCGTAACTCTTCTACCACTGCCTTTCCAACCCCTTCCACATACCTCCAAAAATGGGAGGATCATTTTGGACAAACCCTAACACCAGAGAATTGGGCAGACATGTGGCTGGCCACCTCCAAGTCGCCAATCAACATCCCAGCTACAGAAACCAATTATAACCTTGTGATGCAATGCTGTCTTGTAGCAACCCAAATAGCCTGAGCAATGCCTAAATCAGGGCTCGACAATTCCCAGGTCACCAGTGCGATTAGAAATTGCGTCATGGCGCCTGGGCTTTTGTCAGCCCTTGCATCTCAGTTTTTTTTTTTCTCCACTGCTTCCCCCAAGAAGATCAGCTGTTGCTGTGGGTCCTCCCATACTTGTGTTTCATTTCTCAGTCCTAGTGCAGTGCTGGAGTAATGCAGGGAGATAAGCAGAAGGTAGTTCACATTAATGTCCATTCCCTCACACCCCATTCCCCCCTGCCGCCATAGCTCTGCTCTGCCTGTTCTCCTCCTGGCTGCATGCTGCAGTCTGTGTCCCCTCTGACACAGTAGCCAATAGCAGGCTGGCTATTACACATGCCTACCGTCTGCTGTCAGCCACAAGTTTTGAGGTTCTGTCTACCATGTAATTTCTACTTTCCTAGGTTGTGTCTTGTTGATGAATCCCTGAGAAGCCCTCTTGAACAAATGAACACCCACTTGTACCAAAATTGAAGCCCACTTGATAAACTGTTTCTCAGCTGTAAAAACATGAGTTATCACTAAGGCTTGGAGAACACTCAGTATTCCCTTAAATGAATTCAAGTCCAGTATGGACAAGTGCCTGCTATCTAAAAAAAATTGACCACTGTCCAACATGTCACAACATATGGGATCTCCAGGTCACACACTACCTTCCTTCAACCTTTGTCCATTTTTTTTAATTTTTATTTAAAAAAAGTGAATTCCAATTGTTCAGATTTCCTTCACGCTGCACGCAAGCTTCATTCCACAATCTCCCATTCCCCTCCTTTTTTTTCTTCTTTTTCCTTTTACTCCTCTTCTCCCCTTCTTCTCCCCTTCTTCACCTCTCCTAATCCCATGCCCCTATCCTCTCCCCCTCAACTCCAGTTGTCTCTCTTTAGTGATCCCTATTCCTCTGAAGCCAATGGAAACCCCGCTTGGACATCCACCTTTTCAATTTGATTATAATGTCTTGCTTGGAAAATGTTTCCCTCTTCATTTATTTTGTACTTGTGCGCTTGATGGTACAGCATTGTACCCCCGACTGTTCCATGTTATGTTTTTCATTGTCCAAGTGTAACCCCCCTGCAAACCAAAATCCTTAAATTAATATTACACTCTCACACTTCTTTTATTTTATTATTTTTGTTTGTTTCAATAATGAATCCAGATCAAACAAATATACATTGCCCAGCAAAGTATTTCTTTACATTTTTGCCCAAGCACTTAGTCATTATGTTTCCGAACGGCTGACTCAAGCTCTCTCAGCTCAGCTTCCCTTAACTTCCTGTTGAGTAAAAGATCACAAGGGGCCGAGCAGGCTCGAGCAGCAGTCCATCTACTAGCTCGGAGTAGTAGAAGCAGGGAGTACTGAGAAGGGTAGTGCTTGCCCCACTGTGCTTGTGTGTTTGCAGAGACGCACACAGCTTACTAGCACACAGAAGGGTGGCTCCATAGGACCCCGGATGAGAAAGAAGCCACCCTAAAGCTGGATATCGGGGCCAGTGCTCAGGGGACCAACTGATTCTGCAGGAAGCTGAAACTTTTAAACATCAGGAGCAGCATCCATTGTAAGTGATTTAATCAGCATTTGAAATATAAACTTTACAATAAAAACCTGTTGACTTTAACATCCCATTAATAAAAAAAGATTGAAACCAAAATTAAAACAGAAAAGGCTTTAAAAAAAAAAGAAAGCGACCATTACTACCATAAGTCACATCTAAGGACTTCAGATGCACTTATATCTTGCTGGTACCTGTATTGAACTTTGCCACCATTTCAGTCGCTGCAATCACCATAATGGAATCTTTACTTCTCTTCAGGAGAAGAGCAGCAGCAGGCATACAGTGAAGTAGATGTGTTGTGTATGAAGAGCCCCCACACTGTCCTGATTTTATGCAAAGTTTTGTCTGCAGTATAGTTGCTATGGAAACTGTAAATTTAGCTGAGTCCTGAAAAATGTTCTTTTACAGTTTAGACATAAGATTGTGTACATGGCGACGTGAGAATACAGATGGCTGGAATGTTCTGATACTGAGAGCAAGTTACATTATGATGTCGTACAGTCTGATCCTATCCTTACAGCCATCATAAATGTGAAATGTTCATTCCTGATTTTGGAATGATGGACAGACCTGTGCAAATCATTCTTTGAGGTCCCATTCAGACCACCTGCTGTGTTACACCGCTGCTTTTGTGCATGTGCCCGACAGTGTTGAAGTGCTCGATCAAGACACATCGAGGAGGGGACACAGACCTATGCAGCCGCCACCCAACAGGGAAGAGAGACCAGCTGTCAGCCTCTGTGACTCTGCATTTCTCCCCCAAACCCCCCTCCCCCCCGCTCTAATAGAGCCCTAGTGTCACCTTGAAGAGAACCTTTTCACTCCAATGTGCTATCACATGCGATGACAACGTGAAGTTAAGTTTAAAAAAATAATAAAGTAAAATTAAAAATACCCCCGAGAAAATTAAAGTCCCCTGCGAACACGCGCATGCTAAGACAAAGTCGGGTGCACCTGTGTATGAAAATTACAATTGCTGTCTGGTATCGCTGCATGGACTAGAGTGAGGGCAATAATTCTCGGGCCAATACTCTAAACTGATGACCGGGCTTTTACATTTTTATATATAATTGTTTGTTGTTTTTTTTTTTTTTTGTCCAGTTTTGGTGTGTTATTTTAAATTAAGTGTGCTTTGTTATTGGGCTAGCGCTATCACATAGGGCTGACAAAGCAGTCCTTATCCCTTTCTATGCTACAAGTATGTTCGGCTCTTACACAGGACTCTTTCCTGGTCCCTGCATCTAAATGGAAAATACATGCTGCATTATGATGGATCTTTTTATTGTAGTAGGCAGGTTCGCTGATGGAAAAAAAAAGTAGGTTGAAGGGAGAGGAAGAAGGAGAGTCAAGACATTAAAAAAAAAAAGTCAAGATTTGTATATAATCTCAGCTTCCATTATATCTGCACCTACTGATCTTTCTGACGTGTGGTTTTAAATGGAAGTAACTTCTGCTGTGTCATTTTTATTATAATAAGCTGAAATGTCCAGGTTTGTCACTTGTTGACAATCCTTGATATTGACAAGGAGCTTTGGTTTCTTTAGAACTGTTCTTTCCATATACAAGTCTATGGGAGTGCAAAAGCAGCTTGAAGCAGGTAAATGCTGGTCAACTGAAGGTGAAATGCAACTGCAATGAATTCTTAATCTCGCTGGCATACTGCATTTGCCTATGAAAGTCCTTCTACACTGACCCTAAAGTGTTCAGAGTGATACAGCGACACATGACAAACTATATTTCTTTCTCTTCCAGACTCTGACATTGACGCTGCCACTGCAATGATGCTCTTAAACAGCTCTATCAAGCACGAAGCTTTGGATTGTAAGAATTCCTTTTACTAGTTTGTCAGTCATGACATTCTGGCATAGTTCCTGGAACACTTTAAAGCAGAGCACTTTTATCTTTGAATAACTCAACCCCTTTGTCTATACGTCACAGTTACTCAAAGAGCAGAAGCTGTTCACTTAGTAAAGTACATGAGGTGCAGCTGTGTTCTCTTTGTTTGCCTACTCCTGCGTGAGAGAAAAAACACATGGATTTCTGCTTGCACATGATTGGGCATTCAAAGTGAACATAGCTTCACCCTGTTCAATATATTTTTGGTTTTCATCAAGGCTTTTAAAGACCTTGACATAGTGGCCAGTATTGATACCATAGCAATGTGGTGTGTGTGTAAAGCTGAACTCCAGGCAAACAGCTAAATACACAGATGAAATGCATATGCGGGAGCCACTTTACCTGCCAAAGGATTTGTATGTCTATCCATCTAGTCCTGAGATTTACATGGATCTGCCATACAGCATACACGGATCTGTCATACAGCATAGTCCTGTCCTTCATTGAGGGGACTTTTGTCTGCTGCAGTTAAATAACACTTACAGGTCTTGTTCTTGCCCCATCCTGTGACGGAACAGTAAAAGGAGAAGCAGCATACTAAAGAGCGTTTGCCCCTGTCACTGCTCTCTCCTCCTATTAGCACATGAGCACTGCGGCACAACCGAGTGGCTCCTTGTGCTTCTCCCTTTCCCAGTCAGAGCTTGGCTGTGCAGGGACTGAAGAGACTGATACCAGGTCAAATTCAGGTACTTATCACTGCTTGCATTTGAAAAAATAAGTTCAATGATGTATTAATAAATGCAGAGCTGCAATAGTTTTCATCTTCTCCATCTGCCTGGAGTTCAGGTTTATTTTGTATTATTTAATAGACATGTTGATCCCGAGGATTACTCTATAGAGTATATTTTAAGTGAATTACTTGTTTCCACTTTTAAAATGTTTCACTCTATACATGCAGCACACCATTTTATACTATTTTACCTGATCGTACTGTATGCTGATTCACACAATGTGGGAGAGCGGTCTTTTAAATGAATGCATTCTTTCTCTTTTTTTTTATAAAGGTGTTTGCTGCAGCATTGGAGAGAATGTCAAGCTAGATGGAGTAGATGGTGAGTCCTTGATCCGGACCTTCTCTGTTTACACACTGAACATTTCCTGAATACAGATGGTTGCCATACATTAGATTTACCCACCCCCACTATACAAATACTGAAGAAAGAAATGACTTTTGGTACATATGGCAACCAGGTTGTACCTTCGATTCTTCTGTATTATGCTAGAAACCTGACAGACACAGACAGCGTATTCGGACAGCGATGTCACAACTCTTGAGCTGCATGCATGTTTGGGTCAGGGATTCCCAAATTGCCAGAGGATCTGCATGACAGCCAGGCAACTCGAATTTTCAGGAGATCTCCAATTGCAGCCTACAGATTAAAGTGGGACTCCATATTTTTTTTTTTCTGGATAAAGCGAGGAGTGGTTAGTCTCTGGGTTTTTATTACTATCCCTGGTCCTGCTGGGACATTTCCCTTCACTTCCTGTACAGGTGACTGGTGGTGTTTTCTGTGCTGGAGCCAGACTTTAACTCAGAGTGATGTTTCTACACTGGCAGAGTAAACCTCCAGAGAGACTTTGGTTATTTCTGGTTTTATTGACTACACAAGAAGTGAGAGAAATCTATTTGATGTGGGGTCATACACTGCTCTGTATTTTTCATTCAACTCGTGGGCTGAACGAAAAAAATAGAACAGATTCCTCCATCGACGCTACGAGGACGTTGATTGAGGTATCCCCGCTGTTTTTATTTGTATTTAGACGGTCGCTGGCCACTGTTGGAATACCTGAACAGAGCCAGCAGCTCATTGGCTGCTGGCTCTGTTCGTATGAAAATTTTTCAACCAGCTCCTTCGATCAGCTGATCGAAGGTCCCTTCAGAGGCACACACTGTGTGATTTTCGTGCAGTTCTTGAGGAAATTCGCAGAGTGTATAGTCACCTTAACTCTTTTTCCACTGTATTTGGAGATAACGTTTTGGCTGGGGTCATACTTCAGTGATACAATGCAAAAGGCTGAGCTTTATAGCAACCAATTAAATCTGACTTGTAAAAATAAAGGTGGCTCCTGATTCTTATCAGTCACTGCACCTAAACTATTGGTTTGCCTGCTTGAGTATGTTAACTATGAAGAGACAGCAGAAACATGCGTGCATTGCGCTTTGTGTGTTCTAAATCACATGACATTGGAGATTTCCTGGGCAGTAATAGGAGTTTGCAGTATAAAATTTTCTCAAACGGTTTGTTGTAATACCTTATTTCTTATGTGTTTTTTTTAATGTAGGCCAGAAGCCTCAGCCTCTTAAGGCGGTGCTACCTAAGAAACGCAATTACAGCAGCGCATTCAAACACTGTGCTTCTCTGTCTCTTCAAGAGAGCGATTCTACAGTCATCAACATCGATCCCAAAGAGGATCACAACTACAGTGCCAGTGGCACAGACTCTCAGCGATGTGAATCACGCTCCAGCGTGTCTTCCCTGTCCTCTGTCGACGAGGTGTACGAGTTCATCCCAAAGAACAGCCACGCAGGAAGCGACGGCAGCGAAGGGTTTCACAGCGAGGACGACACAGATATGGACTATGAGGAAGATGCACTTGGTGACAGCGGCTACGCTGCCCAGCCCTGTATAAATTCTAGCAAAGAACAGCATGGCAAAAAACTGCGAAAAGAAGCCTGCCAAGATATCGACGATGAGCTTAAAGAGGCAGCAGGATCGCTTCTCCATCTAGCTGGAATCCGCACGTGTCTAGATTCCCTTTTAAAAACTGCAAAAGCCCAGTCCCAGAAGCATAGAAAATAGTCAGTCTGCCTGCCTGCAAGTTTTGCTGTAACCAGTTGTACTTTCTTTTCCCTTTCTCCATCAACTCAAAGCGTGGCAATATTTTTCAGCCAGTTCTTTTATTTTTTTTTTCTCTAGGAGATCAAAGCCATAAAAAATTAGGCTTGTTTTGTATTTGTTTTGCTTGTTCTCAGCTATCTTGACTTGTTTGTTCTCCCATGATTACTGCCTTAGAATAATCACTTTTTTTTGTTATGTAGCAGAAGTGCATGACGTGCAAAATTCCCCAAAATAAGCTATTTAATATTATTGAAATGTACCTGACTCAATGGATTCCTAAAATCGTGACGCAACCCTCGCTATGAGCTGCTGACGTCATATATGGGTTAGTAACAAAGGTGCACAGTGCACATAAGTAGTATAATAATTGTAGATGAAGATATTTTCCTCTCCTTCAAATATTTCACATGGACTGTAAAAAAAAAACTGCAGCTTTCTCTGCTACGTTCATATGGTCTTAGAAAACCTGAATACCAGACTACGATAAACAAAAGAAGTTTTCATCTGTATGTGTACAGGCAGTCCCCGGGTTACGAACAAGATAGGGACTGCAGGTTTGTTCTTAAGTTGAATTTGTATGTAAGTTGTAAATTTTCAAGTGTAACTCCAACTCTTAGTTTTGGATAGCATAGGGAAGGGTTAACCCCCTGTAACGTTTGTTTGCTGTGTGTTTCCCTGTTCAGAAGATTTCACCTCACTTTCTGTCCCTGTGACAATTGAATTTTGAATATTTTGGGTTGTCATGGAAACAAGGATTGGTAATAAAGCTTCAGTGGAGACACCTTTTTCCCATGATAACTCTTACAGGAGTGAATTTCCCTTCCTAAGGGTAGATTTCCTCTCACTTCCTGTTTGTCTCAAGGACAGGAAGTGAGATTAAATCTTTCTAATGAGGATACAGACAGCAGTAAAAAGCTCACAGTGGCCCAGAAGAAGAGGCCGGCACCCCTCGTCTGCACATCTAACAAGAGCCGACTTCCTGTAATCTACGTACAGTACTGCAAACCAGACCCAAAAAGGCGGACCCTTCACGTCTGCACGAGTGCGGTAGCGTTTCAACTACTGAAATGCTGCGCAATACACTTTTGCTGCAGCCTGGGACCCCTTGCTGTGCAGTAATAGCCTCCATTTGTAAGTAGGGGTCGTATGCAAGTTGGATGTTTGTAACTCGGGGACTGCCTGTATTTCTAAAAACAGATGGACAAATTCCAGGAGCCAGGTCGCCAAGGCAACTATTAAGAAAAAAAAAATTATAGCTGGTGCCTACCTTTTTCTGGGCTGTCTTTGCTCCCATTGGAGGCACTGGTTTCCATGCACTGGCTCCTAGGTTTTACAAGAATTTGCCCACCTCTGTTAAAACCGTTTTATTGTGTTCATCCTATGCGCTACATTGCTTGCAAATCTTTTTCTTTGGCATTCTCACAGCTCTGATTTTGTGTGTGGCAAAGATGCATCTCCTTCCATGACTGTAACCACACTCCATTTGTAAAATATAGTAACAATAACTGCATGCTGGGTAGACACTGGTTAAAAGTTGCTTTGAAGCATTAACCATATTATGACATGTGTTGGCGTGCTGTCAAAAGGCTTTGCTCTAAGTGTGTGTGCATATGTGTGTGTAATGGGTATGGGTATTGGCTGATTTGGAGGACAAACTAATACTCATTAGCATGAGTTAAGGTCTGTGTATATATGGGATAAATAACAAATATTTCAACATGGGTTTAGATTCACTAGATCTTCTTCCTAATTCAGCGGCTTGGGTGAATTTCTTTTAATAAATTACAGCTTGACAAGTACTAGCTCCTAATGCACCGCGGAATAAGGGTCTTGATGTAGTAGAATTGGCACTGGGCGACCTTCTTCAGAGTGTCCAGGTATTGGAGAGATATTTCTGTCCAAGGTCTCTGATCTCTCCTTCTGAAATCTGTAATGATAGCACATTAGCCAGATCACTAGAATTAGTGTTTTAAGCCAGGAACTCATGGATGTCCAAGTGATGGACTTTGCATCAATGTTCCACATCGGTGACTGGCCCATGTCAGTGGATGCGCTTGAGTAGCACCATTTAAAAATGTTACATGGCTTTTAGTGCACTCTAATTGGCAGGTTCACAATAACACTTGTAACAGCCAACAAATTCCCCCCATCGGAGCTAATGCCGCTGTTTGGCAATCATTTTTCAGATGGAGATATGGCTGGCAAATGTTTAATTGAATTTGAGATTCTGTGAATAGAATGTCTTAGGGGATTCTAGTGGGGGTTGGGGGACATTGACATGTTCATTAGAATGATTTTTTTGATAAAGACAGTATTTAACGTGACTGGGGTTTTCATGATGTAAAGAGTGACGTAGAGACAGAGAATTCATGAGCTGAGTTAGTTGATGGAGCAGATTGCCTAGGGCACAGAGTTGGTGAGATGGTTGATTTGATTTCTGCTATGCCATATTACTGTTTCTGTATGAGATGCATGTTTTATGGTACCCTCTCAGATATGCTTTAGTCTTCACAAAACAATGGTTTCCATTGAAGGTCAATGTTTTTGGGCGGAATCACCCATCGGCGTCTTTTTTTCGGTGTCTGCTCTAATGAAGTTTTCACTCCAAACAACTTTCCTCCATTCATGGTAACATTCTTCTCCCTCCTCCCAGAGAGCATTCTCTGTAATGGAAGTCCACCATGGGAAGTAAAACCTGTCTATCTGCATTGGCTGCCAGAATCCCCAATAATGGAAGTCGGTGGGTGATTCTGTTTGTCGGCATTCAATTAACTACCAGCTTTAGGTGGACAAACCTTCAGGAAAAGCTCAGCTGCAGAGAGCCTACAGGCAATACTTGTGGCTAGTCCTTTGCCCCTCCACTTGCCTTTTTTGGGGACAGCTTCCAGAGTTCAGTTCTTCTTTAACAATGCCAGAAAGAACAGGTATAGCAACAACCCACAGCAGCCAATCAGGACTTTGCTTTTTTATGGAAGTGGTCTGAATGGGTTATCTAATAAGCCAATCGCATTGTACTTCAGGTCCGTTGTACAGGTTTAAGGCCTCTATTATGTACAACTCGTCAGTCTGCATCTTTTCTATTTATCTATGTTGAAGGTTTTCTTGGCTGATCGCATCTGTCATAAGCCCTGATGGTGTCACGTTTTGCTTTAAAGTAGGCTGTACTCTAGCTCACTCTGCATATGGAATGCACATTAATTTATCGGGAGATGCGTCATATTTTGTGGCAATACGGTATAATTTGTGTGCTCTGTTAGGTGCTTCCATCAACACGTTGTATACATGTAAATATTCAGTAAGGTTTTATTCTTGGAGTATGATCTGCCCCATTTTCACTGGCCATGTTATGTAAATACTTTGATATTTTTTTTTCTTATACCACATCTGCAAAAAAAAAAGGGGGATTTTGGAGCAGGTAAAATTGGTTAGTTAAGTAATATTGTTAGTTTTCGAAATAGCCAATCAGTCCGCTTTATGTGCACTTAAGCAATAGAGATTTTGGTTTCAAACTGTGTCCTTGGTTAAATGATTCAGATGTCACTGAGAGGATAGTAGCAAGCTTATTAAAGTGACCCTAAACTCAGGAGTTCAATCTTAAAAATACATTCAAGTACCCTAACTATTACCAATACTGTATCTTATTTGTGTATAAATCGACTGTAGATCCGCAAATCATCTCTGAATTTGTGTCGACACTGTCCTTCCTTCTGGAGGGTGACTACTTTTGTTCCCCATGGTCCCTGTGTGTTGTAAATTAGTCACAGCTCCAAGCTCACTACTGTGATAGACTACAACTTCAGTATAAATTAGTAAACTAAACATGAGATTGTAGTCTATCACAGGAGCGAGCTTGGAGTGGTGGCTACTTTACAACACACACAGGGACATGGGGAACAAATGTAGCCCCCCTCCAGAAGGAAGGACAGTGTCAGCACCAATTCAGAGATGATTTGAGGGTCTATAGCTGAGTGATACCAAATAAGATACATTTTCTATTAATAGTTAAGGTACGTGAATGTATTTTAAAGATTTAACTCCCAAGTTTAGTTTCACTTAAAGTTCGCTCAAAATTCAGTAACCCAAAACCATGTATTAGATGTCTATTTTATATGTTTACAGCACGTAGAACAATGAAAGAGATTTGCTGGTGGTTGCTATGGGTTACTGTGCTTCAGCGGGGGTGTAAGTCAAGCCATTACAAGTGTGCCTGGAGAAGCCTTCTAGTGATCACACACAAGGCCATTTTATGGTGGTTTAGTAATTGTCTCCCACAATTGTTGCCAGCATCAGATTGATTGAAAATGGGGTGGAAATCAATCAAGTCCCCCACATCGCTACTCGAAAAGGCACTTAAACAGTCTTCTGCCTCGTTTGTATCACTTTTGCTGCCGAAAACTAGGAGACATTTGTGGCTGGTGGTTTGCAGGTCTGGCATTATGTTGGAAGCTCAAAGCAACCTATCACCAACCAATGCTAAAACACAAAACTGTTTGGAAACTAGTTGAAAGTGGTTCAGATTGTTAAATTGCTTCGTTTGACTAGCATCATGCTACCATTCACCAATAGGTTTGATCATTTCCTGGCTCAGATGGAACGGTTGGTAGTAGATTACATTGATCAATTCGCTAATGTATTTGTGAGTGGTTAAAATTCCCTGAGTGTTACTGTGTGCGGCAAGCATGGTGTGAACACATTGTTGTGTCACTTTAGATATAACTACACTTTTGCTATGAGTTGTGGATTTGTGCTTGTCCCTGCAGCCTCTAGAATGTCGAAGTGATGGGTCTCATTTACTGAAGATCAATCCAGTTTCAAGCAGCATGGCCTGCAGTCACCTGGCTCCTTTTATCCGGCTGTGAGCAATCTGCTTGTGGCCACCACTAGAGGTCAGTGTTGTTACTTCTCTATTGTGCAGAATAAGCAGTCCTTCCTTTATTCCAGTGGCCAGAAATGACTAGCTCACAACTAATCACAATGTAAAAATGGAGCCGGGATGCTGCGGGCCAAATTGCTGGTAACTGGACTTTTTGGCACTTTTTCAAGTGCTGGACGGACAAGTCAAATTTGCATAGAGAGCTCCGTGTTCTCCATGCGGTAACAATCTCTAGTCCACCGAGTCAGGAGGACATGTAACAAAACATGCCCTGGTTCCATCCTAGCTTATTATTCCCTTTTAGTGAGGAAAAGGGATCCTTAATTGGTTGTCATGAATGTGAAATAGAGTGTTAGAGCTACTGATCTTGAAGTGAGTACAGTTAGACCACTTAATTATTATTATAATAAATAATTCCATATGGAGTTCAGGATATAGATCC